TCAACTACTTGGTGAACAAATTAATAAATTAAACATTTCTCCTACTGCTAACCACTGTCAAAACTAGAACGCAGAGAAATTCTGAGTCACACAAGTAGGTATTATCTTCTTTTTAAAAATGTGATCTCCCTCGAGTCCTAGTTTGAACATTCCTACCTGAAGTTCTATTTACTTCCTGTATCTTATACCAATAAACTCTATTTCAGCTTCTTTCTAGCGCTATCCATCGATATTGCAATGAATATTTACACTTACTTAAACGATGATAGTACGTGATAATGTCAGTAACTTACAAACTAAGGTAGAGTAGTAGAAGATATCTAAGACCTGTCAAGTCAAGAAGTTATTATCGATTTCCCGTAACAACTAATTATCTAATATAGTTTAACATAATAGGACGATCTAGACCTATAGTTAGATGTATTTAGAGAAAAAGGAACACTCATGTTGCTCATCAAAGGTGGATAGGTGGTAGGGTTTAAACAATTATGACTAACAATCACTAAAATGAATTACAAATCTCATAAATTTGATTAGTCGAGTTGGGGATTTGTATTAACCCATCAAATATACAGTGGAAAGCGTTAAATCAATTAGAAATGTGGAAACTAGATCGCTGACTATCCAGAAGACTGAATTCCATTTTAAGGGTTTCATGAGAGAGGTATATTTTCACAGGGAAAATAGAGAGCCAATCTAAGTTAGACCACCATTGAAAACCTGGAAGCACTGGACGACCGTTTCGTCCTGGTATAGGACTCCAAAGCAGTGTGCATCCTCAGTATATTTCCCGTCAGAAACTCGACATGAGATTTGTTATAATTACAGAATATTTAACTGATATCTTGGTGATTGCTACTGGAAGTCTTAAATCTGTTAATGCAAGTAAGAACACAAAGACAGTAGATGAGGATTTATTCGATATCAAGAATAAATCGAAATGATATCTGATCACATTACATTTTATTTGATTTATTTACAATCAGATTTATGTAAATTGAACTGAGTAGTATTTAACATTATTTAATCAATAATTTACTGAGTGAACGCACTTACAATACCATACAGTTAAGCATATATAACCAATAGGTATAACTAAGTGATCAAGTTGTATAACTACTCCTTAAGATTTAATTACATAACATATAAGATTGCGAAACATCAGTTTCAAATGTTACTTACACTTCAATTGCTTACTGTCTCATTCAATGTATGCCAAGGAAATTGTTGTTTCCTTCTAATTGAATAATCTTCATGATTGGAAAGAATGCTACTTGAATATCTTTGTAATGGAGTAATGTCTCACAGCTTTATTATGTTATTCACTTAGTATTGTTTGTTTGAATCTTCTCATTGATGTTAAGGACTGTAACTGGTCAGTCTCTTATTGGCATACGTACATACTGTGCGTATTGCCTCAATATAGCCTTAATTCACAAGCATTATAAGCAAAGATGGATAGTGGCTAGCAGTGGAATCGTCCTATTTGGCACGATGGAGTTTGAAGTGAAAGGTACTGGGTTCGAGTCCCAGAGTGAACATCAACTCTGGGATGCAGGTACATCCAGCTGACGAGTCCCAAATAGGACGAAACGCGCGTCCTGGATTTCACTGGTAGCCACTATCCATCTTTGCTTATTATGTTATTGTTACGAATGTCAACGAACTTGATGAACTGATAACAATCAAGTATTAAAACACAAACAACATTAACGGCATCACTCTGTGATTGTTCAACTCCCGTTGCCGAAATTGTTCATGTCTATCCATTTCTTATACGAACCTGTAGCAATAGATGAATGGGTATTTCGTCCACTTTATTCATCACTTTGATAAACTTGCTTTCTCAACACCAGTCAAATGATTCGCAGCGAAAAAGTGTAAGTAATTCACAAAATGTTGAGACATAATTTCGATAAAAGTTCAACTGTTGATTAGTGATGACGTTTACGTCATATGCACGTAATCGGTTGTCCCGTTTAATTATGCAATGTAATCGTTGTGAATAGAAGACTTCAGGAAACTGTTAGTGTTTTGTCATTTAAGACAAAACAATTCAAGAATAGAATAGATGGGATGTTTTTATCAACCATCAAATATTTACCTATTTGAGCGTGAAACAATGGCGTAACGTTTAAATCCCCAACAGTTTCGAAGCATCATCATACAAAGAGAAATCGAGCAAAATATGAGAGTAGGATATGTAAATGGAAATGGGTTTTGATGAGGGTTATTATGTGTCAGGTACAGAGATCAGATGAAACTCTGCCAGAAGACTGAATGTTGGATCACTCAATGTTTCCAACTATTTTACCACACACACTTATCAAAACAAAAGCGACTCAACATCAATTTAATGTGAATTCAAGTCAAAAAATATCGTTTATTTATAATACATATTAATCAAAAAAGTGATGTCAGATATCAAAATAGATCTCAGTGTGATAAAGTCAAAAAAATTACTCAATCAGTCAGTTGATTCCATGTGAGTGGGCTGAATATTTGCCGATTAAATCATTATGATGGTCAGAATTTAAAAGTGTGTGGTGTTTGGTACATGTGACTCCTTTCAACAAACATGAATTAGTCGTTCTTATAGCAATGAATCATTACAGATATAATTATTGAACGTAAAAGTAATGGACTTCATTTTGTTATATCACTGTTTTAGTTCTCCAATATGAATTATTTTCTAGCGAAGTGACGATACTAAACGACCAGTACTGAGATCAAAATGTATTGAGGTTAATTGATTCTCGACTGACGTCATCTACTTCAAAGTAAATGAATCATTTATGTTTACTGGATTTGTCATGTTTAACTGTTTCGATTCTACCTTGGTCATTATCTCTATGTCCTGGACCTCAGTCTACTAGCAAAATTCGTTCCATATAATCTATTTAGTGATATGAAATGTATTCAGTATGTTTATCCAAAAAATTTATCAAAGCCAAAATATTTGTTTACCATGTGTTTTTATTTCTATCTTCGAAATGTTCTATTTGTTTTCGCCAGTGGAATTTTTTTGTTCGTCTATAAGTTAAACACGGTTTCGGAGGATTCTTAATATTCTTGTCATGATAATGAAATTGATCCGATACAATTTAACCATAATACATTGTAGCAAATGATCTATTCGAGATTTATTTAATGAATTTCTGTAAATACATTGTTTGTTTATTAATATTATTATATTTCCGTACCAAGCTTCGTAGATAGTTAAGTACTTTCAAAAATAAAATAAACTTTCATTGATTGGTGGTCCTACTTTACCACTAACCAACTGAAATTAGGAAGTTTAAACCAGCTTATTCAAAATTGTTGTCTGAGTAAAGATGTGTTTGTCGAAAGATCTTGTTGCATGAGGTTCGACTCTCTGATGGCTTTACAACAATTTTCTACTTAGTACCCCTAATCTTGGACAAAAAATACGTTCCATCTGACACTAGGTTTTTAAAACTTGACCAAATAGTGTCAATCGTTAGCAAGAGTTATATTTGAATGAGATTCACTTTTACATGCATCTAGCTAAACTGTATCGATTATATCACGTTTTTTATTTTCCGATAAATGGAAAATGAATTTCTTATACTTGTTTACATTTCTATTTTGTTAGAGAATTTGTTTGTGAACAAAATGCATAAATTTCTGTATGTTTCTTCTAAACAAGATAGTCAATTTGTGGGTAAAATAAATGAGGTTAACTCTGAATAAAATGATGGATACACCTCCAACTAACCAAAAGATCAGTAAACATTCAATAAAATTTCCTTTCTTTATACTGAGATATTCGATCAACTAGACACCCGTAGAGGTCATCATAATTCATTCTGGAGTTCTTTAACTTTTATAAATAAGAATTTGACGTAATACCGCCTAATCCAAGTAGTTATTTTTCTATATTTTCCAACTAATCTGTTTTGGGGGGGGGGAATTCTGTGGTTAATATCACGGGCTGATTTCAGTTAAACAAACATTGAAAAGCAGGAAGTATTGGACAGTTATTCCATCTTAGTGTTATACTCCGCATCTATACGTAACCACGACCTTGCCACCAAGAGCCGAGCCCAGGACCTTCAATCTCACAGCCAGCAAGTAGCGAGATCAAAAGGCATGGGTTCGGTCCCCCGCGGGGTCGCTGATTCACACTGCTGATTAGCCCAATGCCAGGATGAAACAGTTGTCCAATGCTCCCTGGTTTTCAGTGATTATCTAATTAAGACCAGTCCGTGACGTTAATCATAGAATTCAAATATCTTTACAAATTCGCTACAGTGTGAAAAAAACCCAACAAAACATTCGTGCTCAACTATTCATCTATTTTGTTGCTAAGTGGGGGATGATGGGCATTAATAAGTTATTCATTTGGAGCAGTCATCCCCTCACCTGGTCCATAACATGTCTTAGGATTACGTGCAGAGTACCATTTTTTAACAATTAGTGTTAGTTACTCCTTTCTTATGGTAGAAATGCGGAGAATATATTGTTACTTAAGTATACACGCCATGTGAATGGTTGAAGATGAAAATGAAATCTTCGTGTTTTTGTTTAATATTCATTCTACGTTGTATTACGTGATAAGGTAATAAACCTCAACTTTCAAGTCCAAATATAAACAAGCTTTATTTAACGATTTTAAAGTTGTTGATTTGTTATATGGTTCCTTAATTCACTACATTTAATCCCCTTGATAAACCAGGATAACCCAATCGGAAGACTAAGTTGATCAGCTTATTTCTAATAAACTTTGTCATCTCATTGCGTTATTAAGATTCCTGAATTCATTTTCTTTATTTATCTAATGATAGCATGTTAAAACTTGTTCCTCGTCTAAGCCAATCATTGAGAATTGATTGTGTGCTAGACTAAAAAAACTCAATTTAATTACATTGGTTATGAATCAAGTACAACTGGTTTTCACAATATTAACCAGTCTCTGTTTATTGATGTAGTGTATTATGTGCTCTGTATGTTAAATACTAAAACAGAAAACGAAGTGCGTGAATTTAGTAATACTTCACTTACGTTTGAAGTACGCTAAATCTGCAGTCTGAGCGAACTCCTATTGATTAAAAACTAGAATTTCTGACGTTTCACAACTTAATTTAAATCGCTCCTTCAGAGAGTAAATAAATAACTGAAACGAATTAGCACGAGTAAACCTTCCGGAAGGAACTTGGACTAAGTTACGAAAAGTCAAAGATCCTAGTTTCTACTCCTTGGGACATTACAGGTGCGTTATTATTTCGTTATTAACAATCCGTCCAATGCTCTATTTATAATTATTAAGTAAAACCTTGGTAATGTCGAATTTTTAGTTGTTGTGCCAAATCCCAACAAATAATTTGTTTCGAAAACGGTTCCATGATGCTATTCGCCAACAACTTCACATGCATTTTGTGCACTAACAGTCCTTATTAGGCTATTTCACATACTCAAGACCACGTGATATAAATGAGTCACCGGTGTAGATGTCCTACTCACATTTAAATTACTATTGGTTTTTCCTGAACATTACTTTTGTTACCATACTAAAGTAGGACACTGAAATTCTTGTGACCAATCACATGTTTTATTGGTTAACCAATTGCATCTAAGTGATCGATTAAACTAATAATTGTAATCTTATTGGCCTATAAAAGTATCTTAAACCCAGTTTGTTTGGACGGTGGATAATAATTCGTTTTGTTAATGATATGGCTGGTCTCCTTGCAGCAAAGATGTATAGTTGGAAGGACACTAACCTTGCACTTTTTGGGTCCGATATAGAAAGAGCTGTAAAAAGTGAGTGTTGAGAAATAGCGATAATAATGATGTCAATCTATATGACCGTTTTAGTAATTAGTGGTTTGATCTCGCTTCTTATTTTCTGTCATTTAATGCTTAGTCTTTTGCTCCCATTTTTACGATTTAGCTTAAGATTTTCAAGATAATAGTGGTAATTATTGGTGTGGTAGAACCATATTTTAGCAACGAGCTTGAGCCGCTTATTAGCCATTTCGGAAACAGCGTTCGGTTAATAGACCATTTACAATATGCGACAAAATTCTTATGAATGCATGGTCCCGGCATGATAAATGAACGAAGAAAGTTTAGAATTATAAATTCGGAGTTCAGCTAGGATCAGGATTGTTCGGCCTAAAGGTTGGAGAAAGCTGTCAGGACTAATCTATGGACGGATCAATCAGGTTTAAGGTTGTGAATCTTATATTTTGGTGCGAAACCCATTCCTTCAAATGGCTAAACAACATTTTGGTAATATGGTTAGTATCGTTTCGTGGTGAAAAACCTGATTCTAATTCCTAACCCTGGCTTCTCACTCTAAATCCTAGTCCTTATTCCTCGAAACATTCCATACGGTCATCCATAATTTAGAGACTTGACAATATGCTTTTATTTATTTTAGTATCTCGACGTTTTTGTTCATAACGAAACTGTTCAGGATCCCGATAGATAGAAATTATAATGTTTATTGGTTTCTTTGTTATTATTCCACGAACAAGACATGGTGACTAATTCTTTGATACATAATAATCAGTTAACAGTGAAGTGGGTGGATCTAATAGATCGGTCAGTTTGCGAAATAAGAACCATATGTCCATATCAGACCCGTGTTGTACAGTAGTTGTTGGTGTTAGGAGCTTGACAAATTTCACTGTACTTCTATAAGGACTAAACACTGTATGGACAAAGTTATAGCGTCATAAAAAGCGGTTTACATAAAGTGTTCGCCATCTAAATGCAAATGGCTGATTTGTTTGATAAACTAGGGTTTCATTTAAGAATGAATAGCCATTGGGAACAACTGGAAAGGACTGCCCAGGACAGAGTTCGATGGAGAACCCATGCTCCTCCACGAGAGGTACCAGGAGTAAGTAAATAAGTGATACTAAACGTGCGGTCTATCCCTGTGTCTGTTTACCCGAAAGTACTCTTCGTTTAGTAGTATTGAAATCTAGCTCATCCTATCTGTCATTACAAATGTTAATGCACCTCAACTGTATAGTGATATTAAATCGAGTGGTTATATAAACTGCTTAATTCACATTAGTTGTTACGCTAGACAGACGTGTTCCCAATCTCAAAAATAATCCACAATGTCATATGCGAGGCAACGGGCAGTTGTTGCACATTATTATGAATTGACTGACGTTAGAACTGTGAACTATTAGTTGCCAACTCGGTAGTATCAAGATAGCATTCCCATCAAAGAACATGGAGGTCCCGGGTTCACTCTTTAGCGGAGTGCTGTGAGTGTACCCGGTTTAGCAGTCATGCACACAGATAAACAACCATCCAAAGCTCTACTCTCCAATGGCTGCTTATGCATAACCAGTTTATGTTGTAAACTACAAAACTCACTATGACTATCTGTGCTTTAACCAACTGTATTGAAATATCGACGTATTGCTGTGATAATTGTAATCTACTGATATTATTCGATCAAACATATATTTTTGAATAGGATATGAAATAACTTAAATCGACAGTCGTTTCTTGATACGATGTTAATAAGGAGTTGAAATCAATATCAAATTTCGATCGCGTATCAAGAATAAATGCTTAAACGACTAGATTAAGTTTGTATTCCCTACTCAATAAAGGAGTCTATGGAACACTTGGCAGTTTAACATGAATGGTAAGCCAATTGGGTTCTATCTTCTCTTAGCATTCCTAACAACCTTGTCTGCAGAGTTATATTTTATCTTTTCCTAAATTATCGGTGGAACATTAAAAACTTACCTTCATTACGGTTATTGGGTTTTCTGGGGAGGATATAAAACAATAAGTTACAAATTTTTATGGTAGCTATCACCAAGTGGATTATGTTCTGAATTCTGAAAGCTATAATGATTTTTCGGTCATATGTTTAAAGTTTATTGGATAAATGAGAAAATGAAATGTTGATGTATGATTTCTTTGATTTGTTTGCAGAGGAATCTGCTGAGAAAGAACCAGCATGGGGACCAGTACGAAAGATTACTTCCCCTACTCTAATGGTCTGGCGAATAAAAGTAATTTCCGATGTTTTTACTAGTGATCATCTCTAATAGTTTCTTAATTATTGTATTTATGTTCCTTTCAGTATATTTTAACATTTTTTCACAACGACTTAAGTAAAATGTTAACATACTAAACTTGATGAACTCTCTACATATATGCCTTGACATGCTTGCATTTCTGTACGTATTAATGTTAGTTACAAGCATTTGTTGTAGCTAGTAGTAGACATCAGAGTTTTGTTCTCTAATTAAGCTAATCTCATCAACCCTATTAACTTTGATGGTTGTGATAATGGACTATGATCACAGTAAAAAGTGTATCAAGCCATATTTTAGTAATTCACGTATTACTAATTTTAGGACCTTATTCCATCACAAAAATTTTTCGTACATGTTTTTGAGGAAAAACTATTTATTTGAGAGTGGAATATATCTCAATAATAAATTACGATTTCTGCAAAATGGACAGGTTTGTATTTATAATTGTTAGTGATATGACGGATGGTTACTCTTTTTGCCGTATACTACGCTACGCTAGATTGGATACTTGAACGGCACACTATACAGAGACTAGATCACGTTATGTTAGATATGCGACTCATGACTAAGAATAGAAAACCAAAGTAACACTTTACCCAATATAATTCCAAGCAGTCACTCTCAGCGAGTACAGAGTAAAAATCAAATGCAGCAAAGAAAATCACGTTTAATAGTCAGTGGGCTTAATGACTGTTTTTCCACGCTCAGTGACAAATCACATTCCACTCTCACCACCACATATCAGTTACTCTACGCCTAGCTGTTAAGCTTCAAAAACTGGTTCTAGAAACAAGAAAACAGTACGATTCCCACGCCCCAAGGAAGAAGGCAAGGACTGATAGTAGGAGCAGATTTATTTGACCTAAAAAATCAACACTTGGTTGATTTTACGGGTGTTTGATGATCAATCATCTTACGTGTATTATGAGATAATTAGGAAGAATACCAAACCTGATTTTGGCACCAACTTTTATACCAAGCGCACGATGAATATCATACTAAACGGGATTTACATCACATTAATACAAAAGAATATTATACTAAATAAATTTAACACTGAATTAAAATGAATGTTATGCCGATCAGTTTTCATACGGAATTGAGACAGGAGTAATACTGAATAAGGTTAAAATCGAGTTAGAATGTGATCAAGTGGTAAAACTCATTGACATGAATTCATCTGTTCGTTTTTGGTGTAATTCCTATGATTTAATATTACTTAGTTGAGAGATTTTCTGGTTTGTAGGTGAGTTTCATCACTGATTAAAATATATTAAGTTGCCATTGAAAACCAGGGAGGACTGTACAAATCCCTACATATGATAATGTAATCAAAATTTGTTTTTAAACCATTAGTTAGTCAAGAACATATCTTGTGAAGTGTGCAGAGTTATTAGATACAAAGACAGAATATTTAAGAAACCTTACCATTCACAAAATTGGTCATTTTATATACTCTATTCATATGTTTGTGTTTATTTGATATAGTCTGTTAAAGGTCATAAGGATAACAAATAAATAGTGTTTAAAATAGTTGGTCTTCGATAAATTTAATCGATGTAATGAGAAGTAGTTTTCCATAATCCAACAATGTTGGTATAATTAACTTTATCCATTTCACCGATAAGTCAATGTAAGTTTAGAATAAATTCGTGTAATAATCTCCTAGTTTACAACTTCGACTTCAATATGGTGAATGAGACTACTTTATCCTCATCTTCACTACCCACTAACCAGATTAAGCGATCCATTATACCAGAGGGATTAAATAACCTTCAAGTTAATTCAGTTATTTGTCGATTCAATGATTATTAACTACATAATTTGTTCACCTCATAGTAAACGAAGACAAGTGAGGACAACCGAATGTATTTGAATACTAAATTACAGAACATATTAGTAAAATCTGAGAACCATACAGTAAATACTTCATCTGCAAAATGTCGACCAATCGTCTAAGACTGCATTGTTCTTTTGTTTCTACACCAATCGTTCTGTCTTCGTTTTCTTTTCTTTGATCTTCTTAACCTCCTGCCTCCACATATTTCACTTTTGATTGATGATATTTTCTGCTTATATCTGTTGACATCAGTAGTACACACCGCAACCTGAGTATTTTTCACTGGACACAAAATCACTATAAGATAATTAATACAAAGGGAAATGTATTGAGAATATAATAACTGACTGCAGCTGAAAATAAATTGATTGTCATTGAATAGAATCCTCTCTAAATAAGTTAGCACAAGGAAAATGCATTGAAGTCAATTGGATGAAAATCACCTCAAATCGATGTGTGAATTTAAAAATGATTTCCTTCTTCACACGTTATGTTTCAGGACATAGCATTCTCATCAAGTTATCTACCTTAATCTTCATACAATCCCCTATCTTCACTATGGAGAATTGTCCATTTATGATGACATTTAATATTTTATAAAACAAGAACAATAAAAGTTAAGGGATCTGGTAAATTAATTTTATTCCACGTGGCTTAAATCTACCTTACGAACGTTAATTACAAACAGAAAATCTAATTTTTTCTAAAAGTCTCATGAAATAATTTATAATTACTTTTATTAGTAAAGTGAATAACTTCAGTGTATTATTCTCACAAGATTTCATGTGTAAAAGTGCATTTTACTAATAACGACTTGTGTGAAGAAGTTGTTCAACAAAACAAACATAATTAGCATACCAAGTTTTAAAATATTTGTTGTTCTTGCTCCCTACAATTTAACCGGTTGGGACCAATTGTGTGAAATTCGGTAAACCCCTTGTCCCTTCTGAATATTCTATTTTGATGTTGATGAAAAAGAAGAGCGTCAGGATACAGATACATTTTTGATCAATCAACTATCCGAAAAAGCTATCAACTAAATAATACTGCATGAACTCTTAGTAAACAGGTCGAGATAAGATGATTTGCTGTAGTCTAGAAAACAATTATAATATCTTATAAATTTTTACACATGATAATAAGTTTAAGAATGGACGTAACTCATTGATGTTCAAAAAAACAGCTCTCGTCAGATAGAGTGAAATTATATGTCTGCAGATACAAAGTTTCATTGAAGTAGTAGCAAAGAAATGACTATATACATAAGAAAACACCTGTTTTGTCTTTTGTTAAACATTCGGACGATATTTTTTTCAGGATATTTCACATACTTATAGATCTTTTGTCTATAGAGAAGTTTGAATTACTAACTCAGTAAACGAATAATATCAGGCATTTGTACTGGATTCATCTTGCTTTGATTATTTGTTAACAGAATATGGCGAATCATAAAGAATAAAAGATAAGAAAAGGAAAAAAGATAATTTTTATTCCATAAAGTTTAAATTCAAAGAGTATGAACAAATACTTTTCTCAGAGTAAATATTGAGCATGAATGCAGTGTTCATTGAAAAAGTCTGTGGATGGGATCAAAGCCGAAATGTAGTCCAGAAAAGCATACTGAACGCCTTACTTGACACCTCACCAAGCAACTAAGTCTTACAGTGTTAGTGCGGTAGTCCTTCTTATACGACCTACTTTCTTGATTTGTGAAGAGGTTATACAGTCGAATTCCAGAATATTCTCACTGGGATAACAAGTATCCAAGTTAAACTTCAAATAGCACATGATATCCAAAGTATCATTTCAAATAGGGCCCAGTGTGCACAGTAATTGGCCAAAACTTCCAAATTGAATTATTAATGTCATGTAGTAGTTTGAATTAGAACCTGAACTAACGGGAATTCAACCCCATCACTTAGCATGCTATAACGTTGACATCAAGTGTGTAGCCAGGTGCATTGGTCAGTAAGTTTATCTAGGAATGAGTGCGTATATATAGTGTGTCTTCCTGACACAGACCTTTATAAATAAGGAAGCTTTTATAATTTTTGAAATCATTTAACTTTGTTAGTAATGTATACTTACACGGATTTTATTTGGTAATTTGCAAATCAACTTCCGTCGAAACATAAACGAAAAACCTTGATATAGTTTCTTTTACGTAAAACCTGAGGAACGGTACATTTTATTAAGTGAATGAGAAAGACTTTGAGGTGAATTAAGTTCACCATCTTCACGAAGGTGGGATGTTTTGAATTTATTAAGGTGGATTCTGTATGCTGATCTATAGGGATCAAAACATCGAATCAGCTTGTTACTTCATGACGTCAGTCCTTCCTTTCCCGTTTCTAGTGCTTACTTTATACTACTTACTAATAATCAGTATTTCGTATCATATTTAATCATTCTCATTGCTTTTAACAGTGCAGGATGATAATTTAAAGTAACGAACAACTTACCTCATTCGTCTATCTCTATATTGGCGTTCTAGCTCGTTCTTTTAGTAGTATTATAATTCCTTCTTTTCCTTTCTTTGTAAAGTACCTTTTTCAAAGGTTGTTTTTGACCTCTTGTCTACTTTCAACATAGAGACTAGCATATTTCCTTTAATCGCTGATATTCCCCTTTTACAAATCCAAGACCTTTCAGATTTTTATCATTTGCAACAAGTTTACTATCATCCAGTTAATTGAAGGGTATACTTTTCTATCAACCGTGCACTTAAAATTATAGTTCACTTTCGGCTATTTCCCGACTTGAGGTTTGTAGACTCCCAACAGCGTCTACTAAGCTTTCCACAACAAGATTGTCCTCTCAGATAAAAATTGTGTCTTTTTCAGGATCTTTGGGCGTGACTTGGCGTTCGAATTTGCATGGATAATTCTGTCCGCTGACAGTTTTTCTAAGCCATTCTTAAACTGTCTTATGCAGAGTCTTGGCAAGGCTACAGTCAAGCAAGTAGACTATATATACGCTTTTTTTCTTTAATCTGTTAAAGAAGACACTACAAAGTTCCATTTAGCCGTTTAGGAAAACAGCATAAACTGGATTCATTAAGTAGTGATGGTATCTACCGTGCTTTGGTTCTTATAAGAGATCGGTTACACGCTCTTTAGCCACACGCTCTTAATCTCTATCACTGTGTTAATCAACTAATAATATTTGAGTTAACCCCCCACTACGTAAGACTCATGTAGTTCCAGACTGGTCATCACTCTATCTCTTTTTATTTGACCAGAAATCATGAGATCTCATCAGCTATAGAAACACAATCGATACTTGTTATCGACTCATTTCTTTGTGTTCTTGCTACTGTTCAGTATGCGTATGTTTATCGTTCTCTCTGTAATTGACTACTATTTTCCTTTTTGTACTAATTGTAGTGTTTCCAAAATATAAATACGTGAGCTCATATCGTACTATAATTTCAAGTACATGAGTGCTTATATAAAAGCAAATGACAAAATACAGATTTGTTATGATAAATTTAACCTTACTAATATATCAGTGACGAAACATGTTAAATATTTTATACTGTGTACTATATCTTTAGAATTTCCAGTTAGAAGTTGTTCGAGGTGAAGACATTGGCAAATTCTTCCGTGGTGACTCCTATATTGTTTTAAATATTGAAAAAGTTGGTGATGAACTGTTGTATGATGTTCATTTCTGGATTGGACGTGAAAGCACTGCAGTAAGTTTATGTGCTTATATATATTTTGTATATAGACAACCTGACCTCGTTTTAAAAAAATCAGTATATTGTGGATAAAGTTAATCTTCAGTCAGCAATATCTAGCCACAATTTCCTAAGGACCAAACAATTTTGTTTGTTTTTCTGCTAGGGTGAATCAGCATTTGAAAATTTAGGTTTTTCTGGAAATTTGTGGCATTTTAACAATTGCTCACTAAATAATTTGTCACGGTAGTTATGTTTAAATAAGGGAGAATGATGAAGGCATCCACTGAAACATTGAGTATTTTTCAGGGGTTACTTCATAAAGACTATCTTTTTGTTGTTAAATTCCGATCAAGAATTTTAAATTTCATACTTTAATGGTACGGGCAGTCTAGATGGCCATTATTAATGCTTGGAATTCACTGTTCAAGGAAATTTTACCCAGCAATAAAGATATCAGGAAGTGTTGATATCAAGTGTGTTTTTAATGTTTTACGACGTTGAATATTGATTTCATCCTAGTTTACAATATCTCATTAGTACCACGCATTATTGTTCTTATTATGGTGTTTATTCCATTCTTAGTCAGAGCTAGCAGTTCTAACATGTTCAGAAATTATCAGAATTCATTGATGATTTTTTTCTTGTTGTTGATGATTCCAAATTATGTCTTAGCATAAGGAACTCTTAATATACAGGTAATTATGTAATCGGAAATGTTAGTGGCATAGTTTGGAGGGTGTCAAATAAATCCATATTATAGTAAATAATATATCAGAATATAGTAGATTAAAGTATTGATTTAAAGCAATTAGTCCCTTTGATAAATTTCGATATTGTAATAGTAATAAGATTGTCAGAACTATTTGGTGATACATCAGCGCAATACATTTCGAACAATCTGATCACACATATACTTGTTAAGAACATTTATATATAAAAATAAAAGGTCAACTAGACTGGAAATGGGGGGTAAGAGGAGACTAGGATGATAATAACCCCTCCTCCTCCCCTGGCCAACCATAAGGTCAATTAATCAATAGTAATCTTAGCTATTGGATGACCTAATTTGATTATTGTACTTACGACCTTTCGTAGACAAATGTAGTTTTCTCTGTTTTCTTTATTCACAAATCTTTGTATTATTATTATTATTATTATTATTATTATTATTATTATTATTATTATTATTAATGGTTAAACATCATTGTTAATCTCTCCTATACATGATCCATTCACTTCGCATTCATCCCTCCTTATTACGTCTTACTAATTTTTTCACACAATTTAGTCTTCCATTAAACATTTCATCGAATTGTAATTGCGCTATCATATCTCTCTCACCCTATCTGACCCATATTTATTCTGATCACAGATCTTAAATCTTCACTTAACAGATTCAAGTTAACATTCTATATAACATTAACAATTTTATTCTAGATCAGAGGGGGTTTTGTGGAGAATTTAGTATTTTCATAGTTGAAATCATTATTCTAATGAAGCTAGACCTAATCACTCTGGAAAATAAGCTAATTTTACCAGGGTAGGTTTAAGGTGAGAACAAACTGTTTTTGAATACACAAAGGGGGTTTGAATTTCCGTACGACTAAGGCTTCGATAAACCTTAGTATACGCTCTTTTACACTTTTATACAACACCACAAAAGCCGAGTTAAGATCAATCTTATGGCCTGTTTCGATTATATGTTTAGCAATAGAGGATGATGGATGTTTATCATCTACTCTTGTTGGGTCATTTGATTTTGTCTCTGTAACCATATGGGTATATGTTCACAAACCCTAATTTTGGGATCACGATTGCTCCTCCCTATGTATGTGTGACCACACACTCATTTAAATTGGTAAACGCATTGGGATGTGACACGATCGTTTTCATGTCTTTTAGGTTTTGGATGAAGCATGAACCTCGTCCTTTCTTTGATAATAACCTTTGCTGCACGATACGTTTTGTTGATGACTGATTTATGCCTTTGTTTCAATAAAAGGCTATTTGAATCACCTCTAAATGGTAAGGTGATATAGACAGGCTTTTTTCCACCGAGGCTACTGTAGGTCTCACTGTGCCATTAACCTTCCATCTATTTATGAGTTTAAGTGGATAACCATTCCCCATTGCTTAACAAGTTATTGAAGCCTTAGCTATACGAAAATTCAAACCCCATTTGTGCATTCAAAAACAGTTTGTTCGCACCTAAAACCTACCCTGGTAAAATTAGCTTATTATCCAGAGTGATTAGGTTTCAAATTATTTTCACATTATATCATTGTTATTATCCTTGTCTCCTCTTACCTCCCATTTCCAGTCTAGTTGACCTTTTATTTTTATATACCAATGTTCTTAACAAGTATGTGTGATCAGATTGTTCGAAATGTATTGCGCTGATGTATCACCACATAGTTCTGATAATCATCGTCTTATAATTTGTTGTGTGTTTTGTCTGAAGTATTGTTAAAGCAACCAGTTGACTGGAAATAAATCGGTAGACTGCAGAAGTACCTTGGGATATGTGTTATAACTGTCTATGTGCTCTGTTAATGTATGACGTGATAATACCGCCAATTAGAGAGCAGTGATTTGTCGATCAGATGAATGACGCATAAAACCCGTGTGAGCAGTCTAGGGTACTTATCGGTCACTCTTTCTGCCTAGACAGTTAAGTCCAGAACACCAATCTCAGCCTCTGCAATATCAATCATTTATTTCAAACATACTGGGTTTATATACCAAACAGACAGACCATATCTTACCATAAAATAAGAAACAATGTGTTGTATAATATTTAGCCAAATATGGCCATGAATAGGGGAGGTAGTAATTGATAGACAGGGCATAATTCAAGAGTGGTAAGTCGTATAACAATAGTTCATAGGTCAAAATAAAGCTCATAATAAGAGGAATATGAATATGAATAGTTTAGTTATTCAACATTTTTACGATAAAAAGTATATGCGTAGTTAGTGGTCCATAAATTGATCTCAAAATTACCATTCACTCTTATCGGGACATAACAATATGTTATAACTTAGCTTTGAACACAGTTTATTATATTTCCAAGAGAAATTTTCTTAGATTAACTTGGTCATTTACAACTGATACAATTCAGTAACTTTCCCTAAGTTGGCATTTTGATAACATTTGAAACAGTATGACAGTTGCTAAAGGAACATCAAGAGCGTTTGGAAAACTAACTAATGAAGAAGTAGGCAATTATTATCAATTCATACATCATCGATACTTACAAAACTGTACTGAAAAATACATTCATTGGTTATAGTTTAGTTTCTGATTTTTCGGCTATAAAAAACAGTGTTAACCCTTTTTAGGATGAATACGGAACAGCAGCCTATAAAACGGTTGAATTGGATACTTTTCTTGACGATAAAGCGGTTCAACATCGAGAAGTTGACGGATTTGAGTCTGATTTGTTTAAAACTTACTTTAATCGCTTTGAGTAAGTTCAGTGTAAAGTTAATTTTGTTGGCTAAACATCATTATAAATTCCTGCTCCAATTAACTTGATAAATTTCCCAAAAATATGTTTTCAGCAAACCATTTAACTCTGTTTTATACGTAGTAGGTGATGAATATCTTTAATCTGGACATAAAGATTTGTAACACTGAAGAAGGAAAAGCTTACTTATCAGTTGGACAATTTCGTCAAGTAGACCAACTTTGGAATTTTGTCTAGTTTTATATTTTATATACACCCGTCTGTTTAGTTGCAGACTAAAGTTTGATGTTATGCTTCATGTTATTTAGGACTTATTAGTTTGCTATCCCATTCACTGATCCCAGTGAGACTAGGGTGCACAAAATTTTAAGCCATAGGCTAAACCTGATAAAGGATCAAGTGTTGTTGTTATGACTAAGTCCGATCACAAAAACAAAATAGAATTCATGTTAAGTGGCGAAAGCAAATTTATGGCTGATGTTAACTCTGATGGTGTTATGCCTGAAACTAAATCGATTCCGCGGTAACGAACGAAAGCCAATGACACGATAAGCTATTCTAATCTGTTGTCCCAGGCCCCGCTAACTAGATGAAGAAGTCCAAGGCAAGTAGGGGAATATATATGTATTCCGTAAGCAGCCGAGTACAAGCAATCGAATAAGGGAAAAAGTCAAGCGCATTTATACAACAACAATTTGTCCTTGAGCATCATTGGTAAATAGCACACACAAAGAAACAATGGACCAATAGCGTTTAAGACAGTTTACAAGTGGGAGATATGACGTGAAGGTAAAAAGAGCGCTTTTGGCGCGAAAACAGCTAAATTCAAATTTTCAAAATAAAACTACAAGATTAAGCCATTTACCAAGTAAGTTCTGTGGATTTGACATCCCCAACACCTCCCCTTTTTAGTAACGGTCCACCTGCATTCTAACTGTCTGTCGCCGTTGGCGCAGTGACCATCTTCGGGACCGTAGATCGACCTTTTGTGCTTCTTCATGCGTTGGGACTGCCGGCAGATTAAATGTATCCAATAGTACGTCCAGCGGAATCTTTACTTCGGTCGATGGGCGCTCTGGTGTTAACCGCTTGCGTAGTTGATTTCGATGTCTGGTCCATCTGTCCGTTCCTACCTCAACCTCATACATGACTTCTCCCACCCGTCTAACCACACGTGCTTCGATCCAAGGGTCACGATTTGCTCTGTAGTCCCGAGCGAATACTGGGCATCCAACGTTGTACGTGGGTAGCTTCCGGGACGTGGTTTGTATTAGTGGTGGTGTGGATTTCGGCAGCATCAAGTTGTGAATGGTCCTCAGCCGTCTTCCCATGAGGATCTCTGCAGGGGACTTCTGCTCCGGCAGCGTGTCGTTGGGGGTCGTTCTGTAGGCAAATAAAAAATTCTGCAGTGTTTCCACTGGCGTCCCCTCCCCTTTTGACTTAATCAGAGCCCTCTTGAACGTATCCACGAACCTTTCCGCTTGCCCATTCGATTGTGGGTGGTAAGGTGGGGCGCGAAGATGCCTGATGGTTAGGCGTTTGCAGAACTCTTGGAACTGCGCCGAGGTGAACTGCGAACCGTTGTCGGATACAATCACTTCCGGTAATCCGTTTCGTGCGAACAACTCAGTCAAATGTTTCAGGGTCTGGGTGGTCGTTGGTGAAGTGGTGGGAACAATCTCCGGCCATTTTGAGAAGGCGTCGACCACGACAAGATATGTGGTTCCGTTGACTGGACCGGCAAAGTCGATATGTATCCTAGACCAGGGATGCTCAGGCTGTGGCCATGGGACCGGCGGTACCTTCGCATTGGACTTTGCAGCTTGTTGACACTGAGCACATTTGTTTACTAGATCCACGATATGCTGGTCCATGAGGGGCCAGTAAGCATAGCTTCTGGCGATGGATTTCATACGCTTTATGCCTGGATGACCAATGTGGAATTGCTTCAGCACCCTCGGTCGTAGGGATTCTGGCACGACCACTCTATCTCCAAACATCAAGCATTCATTTACGACACATAATGAGTCACGACGATGGTAAAGCTGCTTCATGTCACCGTCAAGTTCAGTTGATGACCAGCCATTGGTGACGTAGTTCATCGTTTTCTTAATGACGGGGTCGTTTCTGGAAGCAGTTTGTATCTCAGATTCTAAGACTGGCAAAGCACGAACAGCGGTTGTCAGGTAGCATTGCGCGTGGTCTTCTGTCGAAAGAGAAGCGATAACGGCATCTTCATCGGTCGTAGAGTGTTCGTTGATGAGTCGTGACAATGCGTCTGCTTGACCAAATTGTTTGGTGCGTCGATACTGAATGTCAAAATCATACCCCAAGAGGATCAAAGCCCATCGTTGGAGACGGTTTGCAGAATGGGCCGGGACGCCAGATTTCGAACCAAAAATTGCGAGAAGGGGCTTGTGATCCGTAAGGAGTGTGAACCTCCGACCGTACAAAAATTTGTGGAACCGCCGCACCGCAAACACCAGGGCGAGAGCCTCCTTCTCTATCTGACTATACTTCCTTTCTGCCGGGGTCAGTGTTCGGGATGCGTGCATGACAGCCTTCTCTGTTGCGTCTGGAAACTGATGAGAAATGACGGCTCCTAAGCCATACGCTGAGGCATCTGCAGCTACAATGATTGGCATGCATGGATCGTAGTGCGTTAATAACAATTTCGAGCTGATGATGGACTTCAGTTTACAGAATGCTGCGTCACACTCTTTAGTCCAGTTCCACGTACTGTTCTTGCTCAGTAGGCCATTCAGTGGGGCACGAATGTCATGCATTGAAGGGACGAACGCGGCATAGTAAGAGACCAGTCCCATGAAGGAACGCAGTGCGGAGATATTCGTGGGTGTGGGCATCTGTCTTATCGCTTGGACATTTTCAGGATCCGGTCTGCGGCCGTCAGCATCAAAAATAAACCCCAAATACTTTACGGACCGTAATAAAAACTGGCATTTCTCAGGTCGTAACCGGAACCCGTTTTCACTAATGCGTTTCAGTACCGATGTCGTTCGTTCATGTAGCTGTTCTAACGTTGCGGCAACAATTAGAATGTCGTCAAGGTAAGCCGCGACTCCCGGGATGCCCGATAAGATAGTATCCATTGATTGTTGGAAAATAGATGGTGCAGTCTTGACACCGAATGGTAAACGGTTGTACTGAAATAACCCACGGTGAGTGTTGATAGTAAGCAGCTCCCTAGATGCTTCGTCTACTTCAACTTGCAAATAAGCATCAGCGAGATCCAGTTTTGCGAAGAATTTTCCCCCATTCAGCATCGTAAACAAATCTGCCGGAACTGGTAAGGGATAGTGGTGTTGTTCAAGGGCTGCATTTAGACCTGTAGAAAAATCAGCACATATTCGTAAGGTGCCGTTTGCTTTCTTGATGACCACTATCGGTGCTGCCCAGGCGGAGTAAGAAACGGGAGTAATTACTCCTTCTTGTTGGAGGCGGTTTAATTCTTCATCTACTGTTGGTAACGTCGCATAAGGCACGGGTCTTTTGGGACGAAAGACAGGCTTAGCTCCAGGTTTCAAACGAAGCGTTGCTTTTAAGGTAGAACACTGTCCCAAACCAGGCTGGAAAATCGATGAAAACTGCGCCATTAGCTTCCTGGTATACGATTCAGTGCCATGAGGTTGTGATATCACGTGGCATATGGTATTTAGTGGGACATCAGCCAATTTCAGTTGATCGAACCAATCTAAACCAAGTAAATTTAGATCAGCTGGAGTTATATGACATAACCCGGTAAATGACGACTCCCGGAAGGTCACTCTACATTCCAATTGTCCTGCTAAGTGTAGGAAATTACCACATGCGGTACGAGGCTTTTTAGTTGTTCGCTGCAGGCTTGGGCTACCCATTTTGATCCAATTTTTGTGAGAGAGGATGGTGACGTCTGATGCGGTATCTATTTGCAATCTAAAAAAATGTCCATTAATATTAATGTTAATGAATTTCCTCTCACCTGGTGATGAACTCTGACAAGAAGATACCAAGCTCTAAGAAGAGGTACAGGGCTTTGGAACCGTCTTTTTGGTATTACTGGATCGATTTGGTGTGCTCTTAAGGCAAAACCCGTCCTTGTGGCCAACAACCTTGCACTTCCTGCATCGGTGTTGCTTAAATGGGCAATTCCTTACGTAGTGCCATGCACCACAATGCCAGCAAGGAGTGGAGGGATTTGTTCTGGTTTGTCGAATTGGGCTGAAATGAGTTGGACTGAATGCAGCGGGAGCGCACTGATTCTGGTTAGTTGTCTTTTGGATTACTCGTACTTCCGATCGACTAGACCCACCACTCTCAACCATCGACGTGTCTCGTTGTAGATTTACTAGGCGTTGATATTCATTAGCCATGTCATTTAGTGTGAGTTTTGGATCTTGGTCCAATCGACATAGTAGTCGCGTTCTTATGTCACTGAACTTCTGGGACTGAAGGCTGCAAATGAGGATAAGGGCTTTGAACTGGTCTTCAGATAAAGACTTTAACCGGAACCGTTCGCATTCACGGTTAACGATGCCCACATGCGTAAGGAAGTCATCGTCTTCGTTCATAACCAGCTTCAAACATCGGTAACGGGTGTTAAACAATGATGAATTGTCCCCAAAATGTTGGCTTAGTGTCTGGACTGTGTCTGCGAAAGAGCGATCACGTGGATTCAATGGCAGGATCAAATTGCAGTACCTGTCCAGCTCACTTGCACCCAACTTCCGAAGTAGCAGTCGTACCTTCCAAGCATCATCTTGATTAGCAAAATCAAATTTAAATAGGTCTTCATAACGCCGGAACCACATGTCAAAAGTAACGTTCGCATCAGGATCATAATGAAACTCAGCAATACTATTTGCGATGCCGTCTACTGATGGTGCTGTGGTTGCATTAGCTGTGCTAGGCTGTGAAGGGGGCGAAACTTTCATGTCTGTCAGCATTTGTATGAGCTTCAGCTGCTGTTCAAGTAATGATTCGAGTTTAGAAGGATCCATGTTTCCAAACCACCGTCGCCAATTGTTATGCCTGAAACTAAATCGATTCCGCGGTAACGAACGAAAGCCAATGACACGATAAGCTATTCTAATCTGTTGTCCCAGGCCCCGCTAACTAGATGAAGAAGTCCAAGGCAAGTAGGGGAATATATATGTATTCCGTAAGCAGCCGAGTACAAGCAATCGAATAAGGGAAAAAGTCAAGCGCATTTATACAATAACAATTTGTCCTTGAGCATCATTGGTAAATAGCACACACAAAGAAACAATGGACCAATAGCGTTTAAGACAGTTTACAAGTGGGAGATATGACGTGAAGGTAAAAAGAGCGCTTTTGGCGCGAAAACAGCTAAATTCAAATTTTCAAAATAAAACTACAAGATTAAGCCATTTACCAAGTAAGTTCTGTGGATTTGACATCCCCAACAGATGGATTACGTAAGTTGGAGAGGAAAGACAACTCGAATCTTATGAAATTACTTAACATGAATACTAATAACAAAGAGGAATTTAATTTATTCAAATCTACGGGTTCTCTGAATCCTAATTTGTATGGACTACCAAAAATTCATGACCCCAACACCCCCTACGTCCAATTCTATCAATGTATCGATCACTTACACATAATCTTGCAAAATGATTGACAAAGTATTAAACCCTATTCGAAACCGATTTTGCAAATATTCTTTGAAATGTTCATTTGAACTAATTAATTACTTAATGGATAATAATATAAAAACTAAGATAATGTGCTCGCTTGATGTAAACACTTTACAAATGTACCTTTTGGGAAGATTGTTGATATTCTTTGCGATTATATCTTAATAAATGACCTTCCGTTCCTATTTCATGGAGGAACTTTCAAAGATTTATTATGATCATTTACTGAAAATATGAAATCCCTTTTTTAGAGGTAGCATTCTCAACAGATTGATGACGTGACTGCAGGTAGTCCTTTAGCACTATTTCTGCCTGATGTGTTTGTGGGGTCTATAGGAAATCTAGTTCAAGATTCAATTCATAAGCGGTACGTGGATGACGTCATAGTCACAAGTGATAAACATTGAAGATATGAACCGCTTGTTAAGCGAACTCAACACAAGGGCATATTTCTCTTACACGCGAAGATTTGAACAACCAGCTCCCTTTTCTAAACATACTGATTAGTATAAGCGATGGTCCCATCAAACTTTATGTTTATGGAAAGCCGATATGGACGGAACAGTATCTCAGTTTCCATAGTCACTGTCCAATCCAGTACGAACTTGGATTAATAAAAAGCTTATTCAATGGAATCAATCGTATTTGTACTACAGATACTGTTGAGGAAAACTTCAAGCTCTTAAATGAAACATTAATAAATAACAGTTATTTATTGAAGTTTATAAACCACTGGAAAGGTAGCAATATGATGAAACCTACGATGTTTTTTGCACCCAAAAGCGTGTCTGTATTGCTCCACCATTCAGAGGTGACCAAAATACTTCTCATGTTGAAACAAATACTTAAATTAGCTATCAATAGGACATTTTACTCAGCCCAATTTGTCATTACCGAAAGGTCAAAGTTTATGTTTCGCCGAAATGCAATCAGCATGTAAGCGATTTTATCACGTCCCATTGTGTCTATCAATTTACATGTATGTGCAGAAACACGTACACAGGGAGCAGCAATGGCGATCTGCCAGTAAAGGATGGCTGCACATACCTAAATGGCTACAAAATCGAATGAATTCTAATGGTCAGAAACGTCACGAGATAGATGAAATCTTCCTCCATTGCGAAACATTTGGTTGAGACTAGACATAAGATTGATATTAGGTCAGCTTATGTAGTTTTGTACGAAAGTTTCCAATAAAATAGGTTGGATGCCACGGCTATACGGAAACTGAAACCTTTATGTGCTCAGAAACTATTTGTTCTTGCCCTTAACCTACCCTGATGATACTGATTTATTATTCAGCGCGGTTTTCACATAGTGTACTTCATTATTATCTATGTTCCCTTTACCTTTTAATTTGTCTAGTTGACCTTTGTTTAATTGCATACATAATGTCTTAGCAAGTACTTGTGTGATTAGATTGTTCCGAAAGTATTGCTCAAGTGTATAACTTAATTCTGATAACTTTCATCTTCTCATCGCATTATAAAAATATTCTTTTTTCCGTGAACTAAAGATATCTATTTTACTTCGACCAGTTCTCAGATATCTCTTATTTCTCATTGTCATTCTAGAAATCAGTGGTTAAACACTGATTACTTTATTGATTTAAATCATGTGATTGTTCCAAAAATTCACGTTGATGTATAGACCTCCATCATAAAGATATTAATTTGTTTTTGTTAAACAACAATATCAATTAGTGATGTCCCCCCCTTCTGGAAATAATCTTGCAAATGTAAACAGAAAAACACATATTCTATTCTACGTGTAATTAAAATGATAAAATGTCAATTAGTTGTTGTGCATTGCATTTCTTTACTCAAGGGGGTGTTATTACTAATACTAAACATAGTAAGACTATCTCATTTAATCAACAATAAACGACAGACTCTGTTATTATTAGGTTGGAACAATGTTGTACATAGATAAATTGTAAAGCTTTCTATACTTCTGTTCAAGACATATTAATCCTCCAATCAAAGTCAATGTTAGTCTATTTGATGAAATTGTATGAAACTTCATTGGTTTTCTATTTATGTAATATATCATAATATTAGTAAATTGAATTATTTTATTCCTCATTATAAAAAAAATTTTTTTTCGTTGAAAGTTTTATTAATGTCTCAATGTATGGATGAAATTGATAAAATACCCAATGAATTATTATTAAAAATTTTTCAATATCTTAATGGTAATGATTTAATTAATTGTACATTATGTAATCAACAATGGAATCATTTAATAAGTAATGATAAATATATATGGTTATCTATTTTTAAAACTGAAATGAATACTGGTTGGTTATGGTTAAATAAAGATATAATTCATATATTAAATTCATTTAATATAATAAATAATAATGATTTATTTAATAAAAATCAATTAATTAATAAAAATCATGAAAAAAATTTGAAAAATTATCAAAATATTACTGAATTCATTATACAATTATTAAATAATCCTGCTTGTTTTATGAAAAAATTATATTCATATTATATTAATATATATAAAATAGAAAAAGAAACATTACAAACACAAATTATTCCTTATTTAAATTCAATGACAAATAATGAAATTTATTTTAATTGTATAATATTAGGACCAGCTATTGATACAGTTCATTTAATTGGAAAATTTATGCATACACTTTTAAGTTGGATTGATTTAGCTTTAACAATGAATAGACAACCAATGAAATTGAAAAAAATGCATACAACTAATACTTCATGGTCTGGACAAGGATTTATATTACGTTTACCAAAATGTTTATCATTAAATGATAAAGAGAATACTAAGGGTATACTTTTTAATACAACAATTTTACATTCACGTAAACATATGATACGTTCTAGATATTGTTATGGAGGTAGTCGATTATTTGGTAATTGTTTAGTTGAAACACCAACAACAGATCAACAACCAGTTGGTCGTGTAAATTTGACTCAATGGACTATTAATGCAATTAGTTCAACTCAAATTGTTTTCTATGTTATTGATATACGAAAAGAAGATAATGATTTGTTTAACAATGAAAATGGTGATACTATACGTCTTATAAATCCATATAATTCTGACAATGAAAGATGGAATGAAATACGTGTTGAATTAGATGCTTTAACGAATTGTATGAATTCAGAACAAATATTAATTGTTTTAGGAGTTGGTAGTCAAAACGATAATATAAATAATTACAATCTTATAGAACTTGCTTCAAATCTTGGTTGTAATAATGATACTTGCTCAAACAAAGTCGTTTTTGATGAGTGTGATAACAATCATGAAGATATTGACGCTAATGTTGTTAAACCATTATTGAATAAACCACACATAAAGTGGAGATTATGGTGTACTTCAATAAATGAATTAACGTATACTAATTTGGAAGAGATTTTTTTGTGGACAGCTATAACTTATTTGAATAAATCATGTATTGTTAAAAGGACGTCAAATGAATCGTTAACAAAACGAATTAAAGCTATACATAGTCGTATAACTAATTATTATCGGGTACTTTCCACGGATAAATAACAATGGGATTTTCCATAATTCCTTGTTATTTACGTTTATTATCTTATTTTGTGTTGACATTCTTTTGAAAAGTTTCTTTTGTGTATAAATCTGTCAAAAAAGTGTTTGTACTTCATGGCTTGTTTTTTAACTGCATTGTAAACTCTTTCTGAAACTAATGTGTACACTAATCTAGTTCTTATTTTCTTACAAAATAAAACCGAATTACTGATGTTGATCAATGATCCGTCAGGATGTATTCCACAACCTCAGTTCTACACAATATAATCATATTCACATGCAACTAGCTGAAACAGCTGTAAAACAAATAGGTCATTACCGTGACCTATGAATATACATTTGAAAATCGATATAAATTTACACAAAAATACTTAGTTTTCTGTTATGTTCACTTTTCATTGTGATTGAATTATTTGAATCACATGAATCAAATAAAAATCATGATATGTCGACTTTTGTTTTTAGAAAAATTGTAACCATCCATTTTTGAGATGTGAGAGAACAAAACTGCAACCATCCATTTTGTATACACATTAGCGTGTGTGTGTGTAGTGGTTAAAGTATTTGTTGTCTTATTGTTTAAGTAAATATTTATGGAATGGTTACAATTATGACAGCGGTGTGCAAGATAATGGTTTTGAACAAAATGATAATATTGGTTTAGGATTGTAACATCTTTAGTTAGTAATCATCTTAAAGTTTAGAATTATGTTTAGTTAAACATTTTGTTTGATGTCTGTCTTTATCAGGTCTATGGATATATCATGTTTAATTTACTTATCTCATTTAATTTTTTTAATCACCAATCACAGTATTGATATTCTGACGAATATAGAGATTTTCACTAGATTTATAATTTTACAGTTCGGTATAACTATACAACTTTGAAAGAAGAGATTGACAAACAACGGTTTTATTTTTTTTGAGTGATTCAATTAATTCATAATTTAATAGAAACATTAATTTTAATTGATTGATATGTCCACATCGTGTTACAAAAACCTGGACGTTAAGTTCACTGGATGTTTGCTCAACTAGTATCTAATTTATTATTAAGCCAAACGTTTGTTATCCGATATTTGGTTGCTTATACAAACTCAACGGGGCATTACATTGTGGGAAAATTTAATCTTTTGAAAATTTTAGTGTTTTTTTCTTGAACTTTCTACTTTCATTACATTTTAGTTGTAAGTGGAGGGATCATTCGATGAAATAAGTTTATAAATAATTACGTAGCGAATGATTGAAAACACGATATTCTTATTTATCGAATCTAATAGACTATTAATAAATTATTAGCAACAGAATGCAGAATTTCAAAGATAATTGAGGTTGGGCAATGTGTGTTTGTGCTCACTGATAATAATTCAACTAATATCACTATCTTGAAACAGCAGCCTCGGTAGGTTTTTTATGTGTAGCCAATGTGATCCCAATGACTTCCGCATCGGACATCATTAGCCAACTCTTGGACTTGTCGGGAAAAGCAAAAAAGTGGTCAGTTTATGATTATAGCTCTGTAATGTTCTAGAGATGGTACAATTCAGTGACTTGAGACTCTATCATACATGGTTCAAGACAGAAGGCATTGGCGATCTTGTTATAGTTTCTGTTATGTCCCGATAAGAATAGTGAATGGTAAATTTGGGATCCATTTATGAACCAATACTATGCATATATTTTTTATCGTATAATTGTTGAATAACTAAACTATTCATATCCATGTTCCTCTCATTATAAGCCTTATTTTGACCTAGACTATTACTATACCGTTTACCATTCTTGAGTTATCCCCAAGCTATCAATTACTATCTCCCTTATTCACGGCCACATTTGGCTAAATATTACACTATAAATATTATTATAAATATTATATTGTTTCCTATTTTATAGTGCGATGTGGTCTGTCTGTTTGGTATATAAACCCAGTATGTTTGAAATATATAATTCTTACCGCAGAGGGTGAGATTGGTGCTCTGGACTTGACTGTCTGGGCTAGGCAGAAAGAGTGACCGATAAGTTCTCTAGACTGCTCGCACGGGTTTCGTGTACCATTGATCTGATCGATAAATCACTGCTCTCTAATTGGCGGTATTATCACATCATACATTAACAGAGCACACAAATTATAACACCTTTTATTGTTTATAAAAAGATAAGAAACTGAACGAATTCTTTTTGGTCGTGTTTTTATTGAACTGTTTCTCCCATCACACTATCTTGATTCATTGATTTTCATGCATTCGTCTGTTCTCAACTATACGCCTCTTTCTCTTCACGTTTTCATTTCCCCTATATTTGTTGGTCTCCAGTTGTGCCCGTATTTGTGCATGTTAAATAAACCTATGATTCAATGATATGTAGGGAAGTAGGTTTCTAACCTGTTGTAAGACGATAAACACGTTGTGAATTTGTTTGAATTGCTAACGATAACTTAATGAAATAGGTTCACCATGAAAACCTTTTTAAATTCACTGCTTTCTGTTTTTTTTCGAAATGAACTAAATATAGAACTCTTGCAGGTGGATATGCAAGCGGATTTAATCATGTAAAACCGAATGAATATAGACCTCGTCTTTTAATGTTTCATTCAGTTGATCGTAAAACTATGGAATTAATTGAAGTGCCTTTTTCCAGACGTTCTTTGGATTCCACAGATGTCTTTATTTTGGATATGGGTAATCAAGCATACCAGTGGAATGGACGTGGGTGCAGTAAAGAAGAAAAATTCAAGGTAAGGCTTTAGTGTTTTCGTATATAAAAGCTATCATCAATCCGTCAAGATCTACTTATGGAAAATGTAATATGTCACTACCCAATCTTTGATGTCCTCAAGTTGTGTACACAGTTAATGTTTATTTGAACCTATATGGCTGATTTATAGCAAGTGTAGTCTGTTATTTCTCCTTCATGTATCAATTTTCATGGTTTTTATTCTTTTTATTCTTGTTTAACAGTTATTTTCTCGTGTATACAATGTGTTTCATGTATTAATGCATTTCAAAATTGCAGAATTTGATTTACTTCTTTTTGGTGTTGACTCAGACTGATTTCTGTTTCAAATGTACTATTTGAGTAAATTTACGTACGCGAAAATGAAGAACGTTAAACGCAAAACTCATTAATGCATACATATTCAGCAAGAATACTGTTTGTTATAAGAATGATTTCATCTTGTCATTAGTTTATGCAAAAGATAGTTACCAAAGATTATCATAATCTTATTTTGTATTATTTACTGATAACAGAATATATTACAGATTGTATTTAACACCTTTCTACATCTCAATATGTCCATGTAAAAAAATATTGAAACAAGAGTATAATTATCTTTCGTCATTCACTCGTCTGTATATAAGCTCTAATTGTTTTCTAACTGAAATGATTGAACTTTTGTCAAGTACACTATGCTACCATATTTTTATGAAACCATAAATCATAAGGTAAATAACTACATATTTATGAACACCTGAATCACTAATATACTGAGAGAAATACATTAAGTTAGTGTGATGTTTTTGTATTTCATATGGGCTAACTGATTGATTATGTTGTAAGCAATTATCAAGAATATTCTGTTTATTGGTCGGTTTCGATTCCAAAGGGTCTAATAATAATAATATTAAAGATACTTTTACTTGACAAGTGATATTATTAAGTGGATAGTTCAGTACAGAGATCTATTCATTCGATCATAACGAAGTGATTTATGAACAATCGATATTTCTACTAGTCATTAATACTGTCGTAAAGCCTTTACTTCCAGAAACGTAAATTACACTTTTTACATTTGATGTTGAACAGTTATGAAGATCGGTTCTGAACTAAACTCAAAATGTAATTTTTCAAATGTGCATTTGGTATCATAATGAGGATAAATGATGTCTATTATACTATTTAAATTTATGTTACTAATCAATGATATCAGTTATTTATATCTCCAAAATACTCTTTATGTATTTTTAGTGGGCTTGAAGTTAAATTGTTAAAGTTTGTTATTCTTCATGTTATTCAGGCAAGTCAGTTTTTACAACAACTGGAGTGTGATCGTAATGGAAGGTGTAAAACTGAGGTGACAGATGAAGATGGTTCTGAGGAACATGTAAGTTGCTTATTTCTAAAAATCCTAATTATCTTGTCAGTAGACGTAGAAGTCACTTCAAAGTCTGTTTTCTGTTTACGAGAATTCATTGACTTAGCATAGTTTAGGCATACTAATGAAGTAAACTATTCATTCATCACTCATGTTTTTGGAGATATTAATTTAGGTGAGTGTCATATCTTGGGACCTACTAATCAATATCACCTGCCTAGTAACCATTCAGAATCCTACGTCTAATTTGGTCTGTTATTTACTCTGCGGTTTTGTGTTTCTAACTTGGCCAAATACACACTGGATCAGCATTATTAACATTAAGTCAACAGCTAAGTTCCTAATGCCTCACCATGTACTAGCTCCTCTCCATATCCTGTCTTTGAGTCCATGAGTTAACAACCAGCCTCTACCATATCTGTATTTCAAACAAACGTGATTTATATACAGGCACATATGACCGCATCACACCATAAATACAAAAAAATAATGATTGTGCACAAACAAGTTAAAGGTGGTTGGGAGTAGGGGAAACTAAATAATCGACTGGAAACAAAATAGGAATATTCAGTCGTATGACATTAGTTAACCTAAAACTTATGATAAATAGAACACATAGATAAAGTAATCCAGTCTCTCGATAGTTATAAAGGATGTGTGTAATAATATTGATTCCTAAATTATTTTTGGGAGCTACCATTCCTTCGATTATCGTTCAGACATAGCACAATTAATGTGTAATACGTGAATAAGCCAAAAGCGGCTGCGAATAGGGGAAACTGTATGTAATAGATCGGCAACAATTTAGGAACAGTAGGTCGAATGAAAGATCCGCTGGCCAAGCACTATCAGCAACAAGCTAGTGTGGAAGACAACAAAACAGATTCCAGCGGATGAAGAAATCAGGAAGAAGCGCCGGAAGTGGATAGGACATACATTGAGGAAGTAACCCAACTGCGTCACAAGACAAGCCCTCACATGGAATTCTGAAGGCCAAAGGAGAAGAGGAATACCCAAGAACACATTACGCCGAGAAATGGAGACAGACATGAGAAAAATGAACAAAAATTGGATAGAACTAGAAAGGAAGGCCCAGGACAGAGTGGGTTTGAGAATGCTGGTCGATGGCCTTTGCTCCATTGTGAGTAACAGGCGTAAGTAAGTAAGTAAAGTCGAATGGCAGTAGTTTATGGGTTAACCAAAAGTTTATAATTAAAGAAGAACATATACATAGTAATCTAGTTATTCAGTAATTATTGAGCAAAAAGTAAACTCAATGATAATTCAAAAAACCAGTTTCAACTTCTAAAATATTCATTCCATTATAACAATAAGACAATAAAATACCATATCGAAATGAATCATGTAGATAGTAACTGTAGATGCCATAAGAGCCATGATAGCATTATCACTACAAATCACCCGATATCTGCATTGTATTACTATAGAGCTTTTTTTGAATTTTTATTCACCAGAAATGAAAACATTTATATAGCTTTAGAGATTTCATGCTTTTCAGTTAACGTAGTTATCATAATGATATTAGATATTAACAAAGCGTATTTATGATTCTCCAGTATAGCATATTGGATGCACGTCGATTGGTCTAAAGGTTAAGGGTTCGTATACAAAACCGAAGGTCCATCCCTGGTATTGGGGTAGCGGATGCTCACTCCCGGGTTGTCCCACACTTTAATAAAACGACTGTCCAGCGGGTTCAAGTTTTCAATGGTGGTTCTAACTAAGATCGGTTCATGATTTAAAGTATGGAAAGTCTACAATCTTCACAAACCCTCCATACTAAAAAAGAATTAATAAATTTCAGCTAAGATATCGTGACATTGTGTCAGAATTTAAATTAACTAAACAAATTTCAAGTTTTTCATTACCCCGTCTTTACCAACTTATAACTAAGACCTGAAACAATTTGAATTTTATCTTCAGCGTAAGAATAAACTAGGAAACTAATATCCGTTCAAATAAAGCAACAAATCACTTAAATAAAACAATTGACGTTTAACTATTAGAATTGAATCTTATACAGTCGACTATAGGTTAAGATAACAATCGTCTCTTATTGTAATCAATGATTTACATAAAGTTTATGGTACACAAGATTCTGTCTATTTTTCATTTAGATCAATTTCGTTTCTGTTTAGAATCTATTATTATTATTATTATTATTATTATTATTATTATTATTATTATTATTATTATTATTATTATTATTATTAAAATCTATTTATTATAAAATGGAACAACTGCATACAATAACTAATGATATGCATGTGTTTCTGTTGCATTCATTTTTTTTCCTTTGTTTTAAACAGAAAAAGTTCATTAGTTTATTGCCAGATGTTGAAATAGGAGAAAAAGTTCAACAAAAAATAGGCAAGAAAGTAATTTACAGGTAATTCTTTCTTTAAATATTTATCCATGTAAAAGTTGATTATATTATTTATTGATCAATTTATTGACCAATTTTAGGCCTATATTTAATATTAAAGTGAAATGTAGTTGGTAATATATCCGCGGTCCTACTTTTAGATCTTCGTCGCCGCAGCTGTATTGGGAGGGGGGTCTTTGGTAATGTCCGTGGTTGTCGTCGCTATTACGTATGTATAAACTCTATTGAGTCCTCAGTCTTACTGCTTATACTTTGAGATGCGAACCATTGCAATTCCTACGATGCAAACTAAGAACGCACAAAACTGTTGCAATGAAAGTTTATTGACTTTTCAGAAACACGTCAACAAACAAGTCCCAAAAATCACGTAGTTATTTGACTAAAATACAATTATTTATTTATCGTATTACACACTTAAAACAACCACATAGAGGGAAATACATGGAGTTATTGTAAAAGTACGCACTAAATGTAGTTTCCTCGAAATAATATAGTGAATGTACTTGTCGAACCAACCGAAAGTTCACTCTAGTCATATTGAACAAAGTTGATACTGAATTGATACAATAAATTTTGATCTAAAGAAGTTCTTTCTAGCTCGTTATATCAATTTCAATTCAAACAATTTACTTAATGAATAATTACCGTCTGATAATTTGTGACTGAATAAATCTCTACTACTTACAATTCTTCGGCAAAAATAAATAAACATCTTTTCCACCTCACTTGAAGTAACGAATTTCTGCTGATAAATCTAAGGCGAGTTTATACATTAAGTTTAAGTAGTCTATAGATTGGTTATTAATAACTTGATGTTGTTACGTAATTAAACTTAACTGACTATTCATTACTACTACTAATAGCACGGTGTAATTATGCCTAATTCTAACTTCTACTCAGTTTATGAATTTGTTAAATCTTGATTAAGGATTCGGCTGACCTACTTCCGTTTTCTAATTACGAATGACTGAGGTCCTCCTAATGCACATTGGAATAGATATTAACTCTGTAGTACGGCAATTAACACACATACACAATGCTGCAACCTAGGGAGAAGACAGAAGTACAGAAAAACCTTGATATTCAAAACGGACAAAACTGAAACAGAGCGACTCTGTATAAATAATAAATGATATTTGATAGTAACGAGACATAACCTTAAGACAGAAAACTTAATAGACTAGTGGCGAAAACCGATCAGAAACACAACAAAGGTTATATATGGATGTGAGTGGAAAAAAAATTTACTCAGAGTTACCGTTACAGAAAAAAAGTTGACATTTGTTAGCTAAACTAGATAACTTGAAGTCTTTTTACAAGAATTTTCTTAAATTATTTTGCTATAGAACTTATGGTAAAACCACTTGTATTCAGTGACTATTTACACTAGAAACTAGGAGCTTGTAGTTCTGACAAGAATATATTACGCAGAATATGTTAGTCTGGTTTTGATTAAGGTATAGTAAGACAGTTAAATGACTGAAAATTAAGGTTCATTTTCATTGACATCACTATGTTCAATCAGTTTATTGAATAAATATGCATTTTAAGATTGCCAACTTTCTGCTATGTATGTATCAGAACACTGGTCCTGTTGCAACTTTAAGCCCGACTTTTTATCACGTGATTTATTCACCAATCGAAATACGACTTATCCAATCTTGGCACTGTGCCAAACCAATGACGTTCGACCGCTTTGATCAGCCTAGCGTCCTTATTGATCTCTTGTCCGCCTAGCTCTTCCAGTTGAGTCCGGAACACCAATGACAGCTTCTGCTATGCGAATCATTTATTTCAAACATACTTGGTTTATATACCAGCCAAACAAACAGCATCACACCATAAAATAGGAAGTAACATTCCCACAAGATCAAGCCAAATGTGGCTGTGAACGTGGGAGACGGTAACTAATAAACTGAACATAATTTAAGAACAGTAAATCGTATAATAATAATCTACGGGTCAAAATGAAGTTTATAATAAGAGGAATATAGATATACATAATCTAGTTACTGAACAATTGTACAATAGGAATATACATATAATATTAATCCATTATTAGTTGTCAGAAGTTACCTGTAGTTTGATCTCACTAGGATATAACAGGTTCTTTCTAGAATGTTTATTGACAATGGGTAAGAATTAGCTAACCTCCGTAATAAATTTCTAGCAAGTTAAAGTTTATTCGAAGAAAAAGTTTTATTTGTCACAAAAGAGCCTGTTATATGTAAAATACAATAATCTAAACCGTATCCCTTTTAGTGATAGATCAAAACTGGGTTTATTCTGTTTTCTAGAAATATATGGAAATCCACATTGACATATGATTGCTTAGTTTCCTGAAATGAAATAGTCTAAACTGTACTTGATTAATTTACTTTATGTGGACCTCCTCAGAAATGTGCATTTACTAACTTTATGCAGCATCAAATCTATGACTTTAAACTCACAGCGTGAGCTCTGATCGTAAAATTTTATGTAAACTATCTGCAAACTCAAAAAAGAAGTTTTAACGCATCGTCTTATTGATTAGTAATTTTGTTCAATTCATGTAACATTACTTGTTGATATCAGTATCGGCTAACAATAAGATATCTGTTAAGAAGATTCCGTCATTTTATGAATCGATCTGCTATCCATATAGTAATGAGAGTCTACGTTCACATTCACACTTGCTACATTATTTTCGCATGAGTTCAGTTCACTAATATTTCAAACCTATTTGACACATTCTTCACCATACGCTCAATTTTTTCTTTTATTGTTCTAATTTTTTTATAGAGTTTCAGATGAAAGTGGTAAAATGGAAATTTCACTTGTATGTGAAAATGCATTACCAAAATCGTCTCTAACAGAAGACGATGTGTATCTCATTGACAGTGGACAATCTCTATTTGTTTACATTGGAGTGAAATGTAGTAGGCGAGAAAAATTGGATGCATTGTCCCATGCCCATGTAAATCATTTGAAATTTTCAGTTAAAGATTTGTTTTATTCGTTTAATATTTTTTGTAATGATATTGTACGTCATTTGTACTTCACTTAATTGGAGGTAATGAATTCCGTACGAGTTTAGTTCTCTGAGCATGTTGATTTAATTATGAAGCGTTTATTATCACTCTGGACAACATTATTAGCACAAACTTTCAGATAAGAGTGATCTATTCGAATTTCTCCGTATTATGACTAACAGCTTCTCCTGTCAACTTTGATGTTGGTTAGTTGCTTTTAACCCTTGTTTTATTGTTGCTCACATATTTATTTTCATTATCTTCACGTTATTGATCTGATTCTTAACGTCATGGTATTACAAGATCTTTCCAATTGTTCTATAAGTTGGATGGATTTCGATATGTTTGTTGATTGTTGATTGAGCTCAGTGCGAAGCTTCTACAAATTCTCTGATCTTCTAAGCACTCTCTCTGTCCAAGATCTCAACATTTTCCCAGTCGAACGCATACTTACAACTTTCCAAATTTTCTGATATGAGCGAAGATAGTTAATTGATGTTTATGCATAAAAAATTGAAGAGGGCGGCCAACTTGCTTGCTGCAATGTTCCTCATATCTGGAACGGTTTATTTTGTAAATGACGTTTAACTTTTCTTTTGTCATCTCATCCTTTTGTTTACATAAGATTGAGAGGAGTGATTTAGCCGGTTTTTAGGTTACCCCTATTCCAAGCTGTTTTAATAGCGTTGTTGTAATCTCCGATATATCTTTTATATGTGATAAGAAAATCCGTTTGTTTGTTTCCATGTTTATTTAGATGCCAGTTGTCTGAATCCAGTATAATCGAATCGTTGATTATCCCATTTAGCTTCGTAAATGTTCTGTCGAATTAACAAGGGTATATCAAAAGTTAGATACAAATTGTACTTAGGATACATTGAATGCCAGAAAAGCAAATAAACTTTGCAACAATTGTATGTAGCATTTGAATTCTGTAATACACTGGATCCAAGACTAATAGAGTGACTGCCTTTTTACACGTCATGTACGAAATAGAGGAAGTTGACAGACACATACATACTTTTTTACACATCCATGAAAAACGATTAAGATAACAAGTGACTAATTGAAATGAGATTTGTGGATGACAGAATAGGTGGAAATATTAGAATGATTCGTCTGTCCAAAGGTTAGAATAGGTCGAGTTATAACGATACTGATTGCTACAATGAATACGGTTCTGTAGTTATAGATTGCATAAAACTGACACAAATTAATATTGTTTTAAAAAAATAATGGTTGGTATTTGTGAGAGAGAAGTACCTCTCTATTGTATAGACGAAGAGTATAGATGTAAAGCTATAACATTCTCAATGTTTACTACGACAGTAACTTAAATATTCTCGGTCAAATTTTTTTGAATGAACAAATATTTTAAAATCTGCCTAATGATAATCTTCAATATACTTAGTGGTACGGTTGAGGGTGGAGAGAGTCCACTCTCCCTCTCGAAACGCTCTCACATGGCCACACGTATATAGCCACTGCCAGAGAAGTCCTACTCACTACCTTCTCGAACCACTGGTGCTGTTTACGAAATTGAGAGGACAGAAAGCGAATGTCTGGCGCTTTAACTGGGATGTTGGATACGAAGGGTTCACCTAGGGGAGTTGGCAAACCCTGACTCTAAACCAATGGTGAACATAGGCTCTAGTATCCTCAGGGAAAAGATGGAAGATGAACCAATTATTGGTCACCAGCTACCATAGGACTGCATCTCCTCACGATGCTACACTGCCTTGTAGATCAAAGGCTCCAGGAGTGACTCCCTACGAAAACCACCTGCTTCGGTCCGGGCACCCAGGTGGTATCATAGCCCATACACAAATCAAGTCACTTGTGTGGCGCATGTACATTCGGTGCCCCTTTGTATTAATATTTATGTGTTCAAATAAAATGAAATAAAAAACTTAGTGATAAATATTTTTATAAGTTGTGCCTATTTGTCATTGTTAACTAAATATCAGTAGTATAAATATGCTACGAAACCCTTTAATTCTGGCCTCGTTCTTATTTGATCATTGTAAGTAATACTCACTTATGGATAGCCTCAATTTAATACAAAGCAAGTAAACCATTACTCTATTTGGTTCCCAATGTCTGTCTAACTGAGATCAATTCATGTAGAAAATTGACTTTAATCTGTTTAAAATCTATAAATGTTTGATTGATTTTCTTTGGTTTTCAATTTAATATTTCATTGAAATTACCTCAGTTACGAACCCAAACTTCAAAGGACAAAACGTTTTTTCTGTTACCGACTTTTCTATCATCTTGGAATTAATTCATAAATAGTGTTACCGATCAAACTATTTTATATTCTTTAAGTGTTATCTGAGATAGGTGATTTGATTTTTATGTGTTTACGGGTTGCATGACACACACACACACGTAGACACAAATATTGTTAATACACATGGTATGTGTTACCCCATAACATTTATTAAACGGTTAAATAATGTTAATTCAATAGAATCTGTTTTGTACTATTGAATATATAGAGATATCTACATGGACATGCATTATGTATGCGTGTGTGTGCGTGTTTGCTTAATTATGCATTATATACTTATGTAAATGATACAATCATAATCATAAGTATAATAAACAAATGAATTTTTTATTAACTAGTCACATTTGATTGTTACAGTATTTGAGTATAAATTTATATTGTCACTCTAGATATTTTTGAAAAGAATAACTGCTAGGAAAAGCATTTCATTCGATCTATGAAAGCTGCTAATGTTCAACTTAACGATAGTTTAGCTGGTAAACTGATATCAACCGGGAAACTGTCGTAAATCCGTCCTCACTTAAGTCTTTTTGGTTGTACACATTCATGGCGATCATATGACATCATGTCCAATTCGTTGTCTCAGTAAAACACTTTGAAACCGATTATTAATCCTCATCTTCAATCAAATTTTAATATATACCACTATCGTTATCGGTGTGTTGCTGTTTAAGTCTGGAGTTGGATACCTTGGTGAGACATGGTTTCTCACTAGAACTTCTGGTATCCACCTCTAAGTTAGTTGCTATTGGCTACATAGCTATTCTTTAATTTAGTTGGAAATATTTCCCGAATCACATCAGCTAAATACTTTTGAGGAGTTGAATTTAACTTCTCAAGAGTAAAAATTCTCACATTTTGTAATTTTAATTATCCAGTAAAACTGATTTTGAATTAGAAATCAATGCGCACAGAAATTGAAAACAATGGAAATCTATCAAAAATATTCGTAATAGTGAGGCCCAAAAAAAGCGAATGCGGTCAATAATGAACATCTCTGTTGTTAAATATGATTAATTATTTCTACATTTGTAGACAGTTTTCCATCTAGTTAGCCTCTTGAACTATTCTGCAGATGTTTGTGTATTACTTTTACATTACTACTGAAATAATGAATAAATTTTCAAGATTTTCATCAAATTATTACACGAAATGATTTATGGTTAAGGATGATTTCCTATAAAACAATCTTTCAAATGTTATGTTTTTATTTTTTGGGGAGAGGGGGTAGGATTTTGTATACATTGAAAGCTACATCAAATCTATGCATGAATATCTTGTTAAGTAAATTTTGACATTTGTTTCGAAGGTAATTCTTCAGTCTTTAGAGCAGATTGAATTCTATCGAGCAAGTTTGCATTATTATTACTAAACTTAGAGAATTCAACATTACAGTAAAAAATTTTCAATTAATTCTCTCTGATTAAAAATACCTCAGTCGTAGTGTTATTTTTAAGTAGAAAACGATTTTTTTATTGTGTAACAATGATTTTAACAGTTTTAGTGTGTTTGTATTACCTGTATAGATCAGAAAATAGTAGATGAATTCACCTTTTTCTACACTGATGTTTCAACACACGTATAGTCTCATCGATGATATTCACATTTCATTTTAAACAACTAATGATCATACGAAATATGTTTAACATGTGACAATGTTTATTTCAGTTTTTTAAACAGTTATGTGATTTTCATTGTTGAAATCATGAGTCAACTGAAGCTAGACCACCATGGAAAACCTGGAAGCACTGGACGGCAGTTTCGTCCTAGTGTGGGACTCCTCAGCAGTGCGCATCCACGATCCCGCCTCGCGAGATTATAACCCAGGGCCTATCAGTCTCGCGCCAGAGCGCTTAACCACTAGACCACTGAGCTGGCATCCGATGGTGTTAATGTCTAACTTCAACCAATCCACGAAGTTGAGCAACCGTTCACCAATTGTCTTCAGTGAGTTGATATCTCACAACAGACCTGGTTGAACTCCACTGTTTCAATGTGTTTGTATTACCTGCTTCGATCAGAAAATAGTAGATGAATTCACTTTTTTCTATACTGATGTTTCTACACACGTATAATTCCATCAATAATATTCACATTCATTTTTAAAAACAATTAGTGATCCTACGAAATGTGTTTAATATATGACAATGTTTATTTCATTTTTTTAAAGTTATGTGATTACTTTGTTGTTGTTGATTATCCCTTTTTATTGATTTTTAATTATTAGGAATACTTACAAAAAACTGATCATCCATTCGCTCCAATCACTGTTGTATCGAATAATCGTAAATCGAAAGAATTGGATAAAGTGCTTGAATAGTATCTAACATCAGTTAGAAAAAGAAAGGGGAATCATCATGTCAACTAAAAGAAAAGCGGAGTGAAATTTCAAATAATATTAGTTCTAACAGTATTCATAATATCATTACAATACATTCTGAAGTTATATTTACACTTATAAAGTTTATTATTATATGCATGAACATTATTTATTTATGC